AGCAGGGCAGCAGGAAGGCCATGTGGACACAGCTGTCAAGAGCTGCCAAGAGCTGGAAATTTGTGTTCTTTAACTAGGGTTTCAGAAGGGACGTTAGGCCTCGTGGATTATCATTGCAGGGCACCATTCCGTCCCTCAGTGCCATGGTGTTTTCCTGTCCGGGAGGTTCGTTTTTACGGCAATTTGTTGGCTGAAAGATGTGGCAAACAGTTGCGGGGTGCAGAGGTGGCAAACAGGTCCAGATTCAAAACCCACTCGCTCTGAAATATCAGCTAGCAAAAATAGGCCCGGGGTCGACGGCAGGGGCGGCAGCCCTTAGATATATATATATAATATTATATATATGATGTATATGTCAACATGTGGTATAAACCCCCGAACAAAATGAAATGTTTGAAATGGAAAATGATGGAAATTTGAGACAAAGCCATCTAATCCCATACCCATGTGGCATCAAGTCCGCCTACCCGAGGGGCAAAGTAAGGAAGGCCCTATCATTCAACATTATCCACTTCGACCGTTGATCTCTGTGGGAATCGTGAAATCCAAAAGTTCTGGATAAACTGTCATCATCTGTCATCGTTCAACAACCTGAACGAAATTTTTTTGTTTGTTCGCATTCACTGCGAGTGCGCGCCCAGATTTCTCGAAACACGGACCTCATGGGACCTCATCCACGCAGGAAGGATCAAGATTTCGTTGTCGTTGAGCTGAAAAGAAGTCTACTTGGGATGATTCCTTCTCACCATTTACTAACCATTTACTAACCATTTACTAACCATTTACTAACCATAATTTATGTAATCTATATACACATTGTCACAATCTCTTCTGGTCCTGTTGAAAGTCTCGAAGGCCGAACAGCCACCCCAAACAGGCACCTTGAGCGACAAAGATTCCTTGGTAGGATGGAACACCACCGGAGATCAGAACTCGGAGCAAATTGCTGGGTGGTAAGAACTTATTAGGATGTTTTTGGGCACAAAAAGACGAAATGCATCGAAATGCATCATGGTTTTTCAAGATCATGTACTACGCCACTACTCGACCGATTGTAACATGACATGTCAATGATTCCAAGCTCCAAATCTTGCCAAGAATCAAACATCCAAGACCTTGGGCATTCGCACTTTCCCACCACTAAGCTGCGCTTGCAGCTGCTGTAAATGGTTATGGGTCCAAAATATTCCAAAATGGGGTACCCTCGTGAACATCAGAATAGCTGGCAAAAGGATGTGCATCCCCTAAAATATGGCAGAGTATCATGGGTTTTGACCCGCCCCCATCTCGCTTTGCTTTGTACAAAGCATGCAATGCGTCCGCAAACACAAACGCTGGAGGTCAGCCACTGCGGGAAAGTTCAACCATCCAAATCCAGCTAGAAAATCCAGCTATCCCCTCTCGGTGACGTACTTGACCTAGGCTTGGAACATCTAAGGTCTAACATCAACTTTTGCCAAAGCCATCGTCCAAGTAGCCTGTAGCCCGAGGCATGCCAAACGCCAAGCTCATCTGCCGTGGCCAAGCCATCTGAGGGGCCGCTGCACAGCTGTTGAATGTGGCTCTTGGATTTAGTTCACCTACGGAGTAACTATGGAAATGTCTGGGATACTGCAAATAAACCTCCAGAAACAAGGTCTTTGATAGTCTTTGGCTCTTAGGTTCAACCCTGCTGAAACGCATTCCGTGCATTGCTTGCAGCAAAGCGACAAGTGGGCAGTTCCAGCTCCTGACAAATTGGGACTTTAAACTTTGACAATGCACGTGTCTAACCTTGAAGGTCCACGGCATAGCCTGGCATGGCCTATCTACTCCTGTGGGCATGGATCAGAACACTGGTACTCTTCTGGAAATGATTTGGTGTTCTTGGTGGTTCAACTCTATATTTGTTGGCGATTAAAACTATTAAGACCTGTCAAAGCGCAATCTTTGCCACTTCAATCTTCCAAGTCACTTCTTGAAAACCTAAGTTTCACTGTGAAAAAAAACATGTGTTTCACTTTTGTCTTGAAATTCCCCTGGTCCTCTTTCTTCACTCGTCGTCCCCTGCCACCTTCTGCCACCTCCTGCAGCTTCGAGGTGGTGACATCCTTTGGTACTGCTGTTGCTGTTGTGATTTTTTGCATTTCTATTACTACCGTATATTGCCATCACTGTTATTATATGTTATTGTATGCTATTGTCACCATCCTTGCCATTCAAACGATGATTATGAACTATCATTGACGGTTAACGTCATGTTTATCATGTGTCATTGTTGTCCGCATGTTTATCATTGACATTAACACCATCATTATCATTATAATCATCATTATCATCATGATCATTATCGTTAGTGTGCAAAGAGAAAGCCTGCATATGCTCAAGAATTCAGCTCACTGCATCATAATTCTGAACATGATGAGCGTTCAACCAAAGTCAATCCGATCCCAACACCTTGCAGAGCTATCTTCTACCTTAAGATTGATCTGGGGTTTCCCAAAACTCGGGATTACCCCCAAGTGCCATCAAACTTGGGTTTTCTGAGTTTTCTGCAGCTTCCCCATAAAAGTTCAAACAGACCCACCGGTGCAGCTCCCGTCCTCAGCGATCCGCTTCAACTCTGGTGGAACTGGTTGCTCCGTGACTTCAAGGTGTGTGACCAAGTCCTGACCCGTTAAGGTCAGCTGTTTGCTTCCGGGATGATTGATGCGCTATGCGCGCTTTGCGCGCTATGGTCTTCCTGAAACATCAACTTAAGCACACAGGGTGTGCTCAGATATGCTGTAAGAATATTTTTCGACAAATTCTGGGCTTTGCTTTGCACACAGGGTTTTCTCTCTACTTGGAAGAAAGAAAGTACAGGCCTCTGCCAGATTTGGAAGACAATCAGCGTACTCAAAGAAGCAGATTGCCTGACCCTGACAGCAGGCTGCAGAATGATTAAGAAATTCCATCCAACAAAAAACGAGCAGGCCGGGGCCAATCCACATGTGACACGCGCTTTCTCTGTTCCCTCCCAGTCAGTAAAAACGATCAAGAAAGGCAAATCAAGCGCGAAACACAAGGCACAGCAACGTTTTGACCACTGAACCAGCACACGAGCAGGGCCTGTCCATCCATCCCACGAGCAGTACGCCCAATTCTGTGGATGTAATCATCAATACACCCCGGCATGTCAAACACGAAGACATGCGTCCTTAGTCATTTGAAGACTCTCGACGTGTATGGGTTGAGCATATGTCATCTCCATCACAGCCAAAATTTCCCGCCTTCAGACAAAAAAGAGCAGAGTGGAACAAAAAATCAGGATTTGGAAGGGATAGAATGCACAGAATGCATTGGATTATATTGAATTGATACAATGAGTGGGGTCACTATTGGAGGTGCATGATCAGCTGATGCATCCGCGCAAAACTGCACCCTGCTTCCCTCCATGGTTAAAGGATCTTTGAGGACGTGTAAAAGGATTAGTCAGAATTTCACATGAATGGTCGCAGCACCTTTGAAGGAAATTCTCATAAGAAGCCATGACTACTTGATCGTCGCACCCTGCTTCACTTCGCACCAATTCTCATCTGCATGTCGTGTCAATGTCAAATTTCAGCTCAATCTTCAACCTCCATTATTTAATAGTAAATACACTATACATACATAGTTTTAAAAAAAATGTGCATAAGTTTGAGTTACAGTAAATTAAGATCTCACTAGGTTGCCTCCATGATTGGTGCATCTTTGGCAGCCGTGGCGCACGTTGGGCAAGTCGATGCCGCGCCCCAGCACATCGGTCGCCACAAGCACATTGGGAGCTTGCCTCACAGGGTCCGGATATGGATGGGACCAGATTAAACGCAGTATGTGAACAGAATCTTGGCAAATCCACCAACTGCACTTGTTTGGTCTGTTTCACTTGAGTCCACTTGCGTCCATTGGGATGCACAGAAAACTCTCGCTCAAGACACTAAAGTGTATTTATCACACAGACAACAATACTGGACGATTTATTTATATATATATACATAGTCAATGATATCATGCATATTGTTCTTCATTTGTAGTTGAGAGACTTTAACAAACATGTGTTCTTGATTTCAGAAAACCAATCGGGCATCAAAAAAGCAAACCCTTTTTTTTAATCAAGCTTAGCGAGTAAAGTAGGAATGTGGGTCATTGTGTAGCCAGCCCCAGACTATGAAACCTACAACTTGCTGACCAAGATTCTCTTCGCTGCTGGTAAATCTTTCGAGGTTGTAATTACGCTCCTTGCCATCACACTAACATCATACATCAGCGTCAAGGCACGTCTTGAAACCAAACTTGAATGAAATGTGTGTTTTGTATACCGTGCAGACTGTCTGCATCATCAAGAGCATGACACTCTGTCACGGAGCCAAACGCACAATTTCTTCGCAAATTCCTGTGTTTCTTAGAGGAGATATATCACATGAGAGTCCAGCTTCTATATATATATATACACGTATATATATATATATATACGTATATTATATATATACGTATATATATATAATACGTATATTATATATATATACAGGTATATAATATATATATATATATAATACGTATATTATATATATAATACGTATATTATATATATATATATATACGTATATATATAATATATGTGTATATATATATAATATTATATATATATAATATAATATACATATACATCTATATATATAGCTCAATGATGCTCAATGGTATCTAATTGTCCGAATTAACGTCCACATTCAAGTTGCTGCGCACATAATCCGCTTCCTACTTGCATGTGCCCACTTAGCAAGGCACCACCTCAACAGCCATGCTCCTGCTGTGCCTTGCCCCCATGCAACGAAAGAGCTTCGCAACCTAGCCATGCATAAAGACCAGCAGAGTGAATTGAAGAACTCAGAGATGGTGGAGACACGTGGAGACTATACAAACAAACTTTGCATCCCAGGTATTCCCAGGTACATGAACTTACCTCCCATGAGATTTGAGGTCATGATCACTCCCCCGCATCGCACGGCATGCGACCTGACAAAGCAAACTGATCTAACCTCGTGCCCAAATCAGAAAACGAAACAGGATTGCAATCACGTTCCTTTCATCCCTGAGAAGAGTTTGCTCCCCCACCTCTGTCCGCAAGTTGAGCCACCACTGTATCCTGAGCACGGGTCGCAAGTCATTCAGCGCTGCAAATGCACCCAGCTCCCAGCATTGCAATGTCCAAAGTGTTTGGTTTTGCCGTTTTGCCAAGCAGCGGCCAATTTCTTTGTTGTGCAAAAGACCAAGGCTTTCCCAAAGGCCACGCATTTTGCATCTCCAGTTTCTTCACTTGTGCCCTGCTCCAGAGCACCTCAGCGAGGATCGAACATCAAAACAAAGTCACCTAAGCGCTGAGCCATTGGATGGACTTCGAAAACGACAAAAAACCATACAAAACCAATCAAAACCATCCTCGGAGATCTTTGCTGGACCAAAAATGACTTTTTCTGGGCCGAGCTTCTCAAAAGCTCGAGAAGACGCGCCAATTTTCGCTCTTCTCGCTTTTCCTGTTGCACCAAGTTCAGCCGATATACCCTTTACAAACCATTCTGAAAAGGTGTTGAGGATCATTGTATGCACATTTCCACATTCTGATCTTCACTCATCCTAAATTATTTGGAGATCTGCCACAACCAAGTGGTCGTGGGCTGTGTCCTCGCTCTCGTCATCGTCGAAGACCTCAACGATCTGCCGAATGTTCCTTGGGCTAGACGGCTGGACATGCTGACTTGGTTCCACAACCTATGGCAGACTCTGGAGAGTGGAACACATAGTGAATGAACAACGGCTTCTTGTCAACATCGCAAGCGACATGAGCCCTGTATCTGTGACCGAGATTGCACAGTAATTACCAAAGCTGCAGAGGTTCCGAGGGCAAGCTGACACGCTACCTGGCACAAGAATGCTGAGCACATGCATCTGTAGCAATACTGAAGCACCGTTGAAGCTGATTGGAAGGTCCTAAAAGATCAAATGTTCACCTTGGAAGGAGTGAAGTCCTGTCCGTGCAGAGCTTCCCGTACAGAATTCTGTTTGATCAAAGTTGGCAAAACCCCGAACTGCCGCTCCCGCGGTCAACCTTCTTGCATAGTACCATTCTCGCCAATCTGAATCACTACCTAAGCTTTTGAGCTGTACTGCGGGCCCTGAGAGCTAAGCAGAAAAACTGGAGAATCAAATGCAATGACGCAGTTGTCTGGGCACCAACATCAATCTTTCGGTTCGCACAACTGCACCACTGTTTCAACACATCACAAGTCACTCAAAACTCCGCGCAGTGGCGCAGTGCAGTCACAAGTGACGGGTGTGTGACGGCAAAACCGTCTGGCTTGCTCACCCACCTGTCAGAACATGACTTCCCAGAACAACCCCTTGATGCGAAGCATGCATGGTTAATAATGATGATCAATGATGATTATTGGGATGTTAATGATGATCAATTGTTATCAATTGTTCATAATGATGGCTAATGATGATGAATGATGAATGGTGAATGTTAATAGTGATGGGTTTTTTTAAGGGTCAACCGGTCAACCCAACAGCTGCGGACTGCGGAACCTTCTCCTCCCGCCAGGTGGCCGAAAAGAAAAGCGTCTGTCGCATGTGCGCCGTGCGCAGGGCCTTTCGTCGCATCTGGTGAAGTGCTGCACAGATGGTCAATGTGCTGCACAAGAAGACATTGATTCAACTTACAAGTGTATTATGTTATTATGTGTATTGATGTGTGTAGATACAATATATATATAGAGAGAGAGAGAAGAGAGATGAAGAGAGAGAGAGAGAGAGACAGGGCTACAAACACTCACGCAGTCTGTTCATGCTGGATGTATACACACAGAAGCAATGTCATTGTTCACGTTGGATGTATTCACAAAGAAGCAATGTCACACTACTTCAGCGCATGTATTCCCATGTCAACGAACACGCTTGAAGCCACATAGCCTTGCTAGCACAACATGAAATTGACCAAAGATAGGGTACCCAAAAATCCGGTGGTGCTCATGGCTGATCATCATATTCCGCAGATCGCCACAAAGTGGCGATAAATAACCCACTATTGGACAAGCCCGCACATTCATGTTGTATCTAGCCATTGTAACCCGTAGTTAACCCCCACTCTTTTTCCTGTCCCCGGGTCATTTTGGCGGTTAGTTAGAAGACTACTTACCTCTAAAGAAATGGGTGATTCTCAGGGTCTATCTTGGTTCAGGGATGGCAAATCATATCAAGTTGGTGACGAATCCCGTTTTATTTGATATCTTTACCCCATTCTTTCCCATCATATCCCATCAACTTAATTTAAAGTTCCCTTTTTTAACAAACCCATCCGCACAACTGGGTCACCCGGCAATGCCATCCAGTTGGTCGCCTAGCCCCTCCTCAAGCATCCTGCAACTGCACCGTATGTACTGGCGATATTCATTGGGAAGTGTGTGCGTATATATATATAATTATATATATATAATTATATATATAATTATATATATATAATTATATATATAATTATATATATATATAATTATATATATAATTATATATATAATTATATATATAATGCGTGTGTATGTATATATATATATACATATACATATGTGTCTATATGTATATATGTATATATGTATATGTGTATATGTATGTGTATATATGTATATATATGTGTGTATATGTATATATGTGTATATGTGTATGTATATATATACATACATACATACATGCATGTGTTATATAATATGTATATATATATTATATCTACGTAATGTATATATATTAATGTGTGTATGAATAGCCAAATTGATGTGATTTCTTGGTGTGTCTTAAAATAGGGTATACCGTATACCGGTATACCCCCAAGTTATGGCAAGTTAAATCAGGAAAATGATGATAAGCCATCCGATCTGGATGGAACTACTACCAATTTTCTGGGTGTGTGGCTTCGACTCATACGAATTTCCCCAGTGCGTGTGCCAAGTTTGGATCGAACTGTGCAAGGTCTCGGCACCAATGCTGTGAGTAGACATGGCTGATTCAGACAGCATTGCCAAATCACTCATTCGATTGGTTTAAGTATGTTTAAGTGAAAATCTACGGGAAACCATAGTTGTTACCTCCAATATGTCTGGGGGGTCTGGGGGGCTCCTGCAAATGTTCCCTTCGAACCACCAGTCCTATCACCTTCATCGAGCACCAAGACTCGCACACTGGCCAAAGGCTCACGGCCTAACGGCTGAGTGGCCAAGCATTTCGCCCATGTTCAACTCATCTTACTGGGATGATTAGCAGTCATGGTAGTCATGATGGAATTCGGGTAGCGTATGTTCAAACAAACCCAGATGCGGCTTGATGTGTTCTTGCCCTAAGGACTGGGAAAATTGAATAATCTGCGGAAGTTAAGGCTAATTCCCTGTGTGTCTCACCTGTGGAGTGCAACCCTCTGTGGGCCATCAGTGAACTGCTCACCTTCCTCTTCTTCTGCACAAATGAGATCCAATAGCCGTCCGGGCGCAGCACAAACAATCCAGCTACCACTTCCTGCGTTGCGGCCATCACTGGAGCGGCGTCTTCAGAAATTCAGCTTCGGCTTTGCTGAAAATGTGGCCCGCCCTGAAATTCCACTCTTCAAAAAACAGTGGTTCCAGTGGTTCCATCTTTTCCTATTTCACTGGTAAATTGAGGATTAAGGTATCCGAAACACAAATTGAGGGGTTGACCTGGGTTGAATCCTCCTCTGCCGAGAGGCCTGGTGCATCTCGGTGGCTGCCATAGCGCAAGTGCTTCTGTTGCTCTGGACGTGAGCCACCACCCCAGATGGAGACAACTGAGATGCGTTGCCTTGCGCAATGCATCAGAGATTGGCATAGAAGCGCCAAAATGCTGGTTTTTTATTATATCTTCATATGTGGGATTGAACCAGCACACAATCAAAAACGGATCCCTTGAATGTGCAATCCATCTTACTTGCATCCTTCCACCGAGCCAATCTACGAGACTGCAGCACAAGACTATTGCATTGCATTTTCTGCATCGGCCAAATGTGTTTCCTGAGCTGCAGGCTCCAAGTCATCTACTCCAAATCCAGAGTCTTCATCCTGGCAGTGAACAGTTGATCCACCAACAGATCACGCAGGGTCATGTGCAATGCCAAGAGTGCAATACGGAAAGCTGCCTTCCCCAAAAGAGCATTTCCACAGGCGGCTACTTGCATTGCCAATTCCTGGGTTGCTCACAATCGACCCAAGCGAGTGCAGCCAACAAATGTTCTGATCAGGGTAAAAGCCTTCGCAGGAATTGGTCATTCGTATATTTCTGTCTTCCTTTGCTCCTCTCTGGTGAAAGACATTGAGAGAGAGAGAGAGTGGTGCAATCAGTAGGTGCATGGGCCTGTGCCCGTCAAGACCAAGGTATGAGATTCTGCAGTCGAGGTACTCGAGTGGGCAAGAGCACTAGTCCAAATGGACCATGATGGGAAGGTGTTGACAAGAGCCGGAGCAGCATTGGCAGCAAATATGCCAAAGTCCTTGTGTTTTCGCACGGATAAACTTATCTGCCTAGTCATATGTTTTTCTGTGCCACCAATGCACCCCAGGTGTTTTTCTCTGGATCAAGATGGAAGTTTCAAGCAAGTTCTGCGTGATTGGCAATGCACTTCAGCTGCATTTCAGATTTGCCAAAAGAAACAAAAACTTTTGAAGCCTCAAGCTCGTGGAGTACAGTCAACTAGCTCTTTCGCTCTTGTGTAGCTGCGTGCTACAAATTCGAATCCAAGACCCACCCAAAATCCGGCAAGGGACTTTCCGCTGCCAGTGGCTGCAACTCCCACCAAATCATGACCCTCCAGGGCCAGCGGAACGGCTTCCCTTTGGATTGGTGACGGAGTGTGGAAGCCTGAGTTGCGAAGTGCCAAAGTGCCAGCGATTTTGGTCCTAAAATGGAGACCCCAAGATCAGTCAGGTTATCGGTAAATGTTGAGGGGAAACCAATGGTGAAAAACGGGTACCCCTTTGTGCTCAATGGGTGCATTCGGTTTGTCCTAGTAGATGTTCTTCCTTACCACTTGGTGTCACTTGCTGTGTGTTGTATATGGGTCAATGCCTACAATACCAGTGAAAGGGATCAACGTCCATTCAACAAGATTCTTCAAAACAAACTGCTACGTTTAGATCTATCAAATCTATCAAATCAATGAAATATTATATGTATGTCTACATGTGTATATATATATATATGTATGTATATGTACATATTATACATCATGGTGTGGCCCTTTGGGTGTTGTTACTCCTCACCTCTTCTCCACTGGTCTCAACCACTGGGCCTTGGCTCTTGAGGCCTTGGGCGATGGTCTGCGGAAGCTTCAGCTGCTCGTACGTCCACGGCACGTTGGCCTAAAAAGAAACGTCTTGGAATAGCATTAGCCCCAACGCTACACTTGTCAAATATGACGTACCTAAAATTTACATGGAAGTTATAATCCCATTCCTTGAGGAAATTGTGGAAATTGGTGTTCCGCGAATTTGTTCCTAGATTTTTACATTTGCGGCAATTGCTGTCTCATCTTCAACAGGGTCATATACAAACACCCTTCACACAGTTTGATCGGATCCCTTGTCAAACCACAGATTGCTCTTTCTGATGCTTTCAGCTGCCAGCTTCAGCTGCCAGCTTCAGCTGCCAGCTTCTCTCTTTGGCAGACCCTTGCTCAAGCCATCAGAATCTGGTAAGAAATAACTTTGCGATACGTTGTCACTTTCCACATTTCAGATTTTCCTGATTGCCGCCCTCTGGCCTCGGTATCCATCCAATCTGCCTGCAGAAGCGCATCTGGTGATACAGACTCCACATCCAGGAATCATCAAATAAGGTAGAATATAACCTCTATATATATAACTATGGGTCTTATACAATCATACATATACATATATATATACATATATATATACATACACATACATATATATATATATATACATACATATATATATATACATACACATACATATATATATATATATACATACACATACATATATATATATACATACACATACATATATATATATACATACATATATATATATACATCCACATACATATATATATACATACACATACATATATATACATACACATACATATATATATATACATACACATACATATATATATACATACACATACATATATATATACATACACATACATATATATATATATACATACACATACATATATATATACATACACATACATATATATATATACATACACATACATATATATATACATACACATACATATATATCTATAAACATACACCTACATATATATATATACAACACTAGCCTATATATATATACATATATATATAGACAAACACATACATAGATATATTATTATATATACATACACAGTCACTACATATATATATATAATACCATACATATAGATATACTACACTACATATATATAATACATACACATACATATATATATTACATACCATACTATATTAGATATATACATACACTACATATATTATTATGTCATATCACATACATTTATTACAGACAGAGCATATATATACATACACATACATATATATACATACCAGACATTCATCTATATATACATACACATACATATATATATATACATACACATACATATATATATATACATACACATACATATATATATACATACACATACATATATATATATACATACACATACATATATATATATACATACACATACATATATATATATATACACTATATCCACTATATCCACTATATCCACATATAGGAACTGCAGCCCCATTTTTCAGTTCAACTCCTCCTGATCGAAATCATCGGATTTGGTCGGTCCCGGAGTGCGCTGCCTTGATATCACGCAGAATGGCCTGGGATCAGATCCAGGGATCCACTGATCAGTGGATCTATTAAGATCCAGAAAGATCTGAAACACAGATATCTGAATGGACCATATTATGGACCATATTATTATCCACTATCATTATTATCCCCAATTAAGATCTATTAAGATCTAGTAAGATCATACTATGATCTTATTCTTATCCCCAATTCTAAAGTAGGCTTCCGAGTGGCAACCCCTTCAGGATCATCTGCAGCCTCAACGCAGCCTGCAGTGCTACAAACATGCTTCGAGTACAATAGACACAACAAGAAAAAAGCTATAAATAATATATATACGTATATGACATACATATGTATATAGAATCCGTCCTTAGAAAAGCATTGAAAGGCATAGACATCTGGCAGCCAACAAAGAATGAAGAATGAAGCACCTTTTTCGGTGGATAAAGAACTTCGATCGCTCAGCATCCATGCCCGAAATCCAAAAAGGAATGCAAGGTGGCAAGAAAAAAACAATTGATCTTGATCATCAAAGGATAGCTATAAAGTGAAATGTTCGTTCGGAAAACCATTGTTTTGACCCGTCAATGGATGGAAGTTCGATGGGTGCCTGCACCTATTCCAACGACGCCACACCTCGACATTGCCGTGGCGCTTCCGCAGCATAGCCCCGTGCAGGCAATGCACCGCCACTGGCACCACGAAGTGTGGGGCCCCGACCTGAGACAGCCCGAAGTCACTTCCAAAGAAAAATCGATTTCATATTTCCTAGTCTGTACCCCTTCTCCCTAAACACATTGATTTTCAGCAAACACCGCTGAAGAAAAAATAGTGTATTGGAACTATATCCATTCTTTTGTTTTTAGGACCCTATTCTTTACGGAATTATTCTCAGGGGATGGGATCAAGAAGTCACTTGCTGTATCATTTCTCCAAGAATTTATATAGTTTTGAAAATCTCCAATCGCTGAATGACCAGAGTCTGCACATCAAGCGCCTCCCATTTGCAAACATCGCACCAACTAGGGTCCCCTGCTTAGTGCATCCGCTTGTACCTACATGGAAAATCACAATGCAAGCCCCAAACAGGTTTCCAAACACTTTCTTTTGTTGGGAATTGAACTTTGTTGCAAGACCAACCGAAAAGTGATTTCTCTTCTGATTATCTTAGACCCTGTTAGATCCTGACTATATTTCCAGGCACAATAATTACACTATATACGTATGTGTCCATGTATGTATATTATCTAAGTTCAAGATAGGTGCTTGATATCCAGCTATAAGATAGGTACGCTACGCTTGGTACGCTTGGTGCGCTTGGTACGCTTGGTACGCTTTGGGTAGGTACGCTTGGTACGCTTAGTAAGGTACGTTTGGTACGCTTACCAACCGTACCGACCGTACCGACCGTACCAGTGAACCGTACATAACCGTACCACCGTACCGTACCAGATTAAGGGGGGGGGTCAAGGTGGGGGCGTTTTGGATGTACCAATACTACTTTAGTATTGGTACATCCAAAACGCCCCCCCCTTGACCCCCCCCTTAATCTGGTACGGTACGGTGGTACGGTTATGTACGGTTCACTGTTACGGTTGGTACGGTCGGTGCGGTTGGTAAGCGTACCAAACGTACCTTACTAAGCGTACCAAGCGTACCAACCGTACAGTACCACATGTACCAACCGTACCGTACCAAGAAAACCAAACCTACCAGCCGTACGTACCAGACATGTTTGGATCTTACTTAAGGCCTCTACCACCTATCTTGAACCTAGCTAATATGTATGTATGTATGTATGTATGTATGTATGTATGTATGTATGTTATGCTATGCTATGCTATGCTATGCTATGCTATGCTATGCTATGCTACGCTACGCTATGCTATGCTATGCTATGCTATGCTATGCTATGGTATGGTATGGTATGGTATGGTACGGTATGTCTGTATGTGTGTATGTGTGTATGTGTGTGTGTATGTGTGTGTATGTGTGTGTCTGTGTGTGTGCATGTGTGCATGTGTGCATGTGTGCATGTGTGTGTGTGCATGTGTGTGTGCATGTGTGTGTGTGTGCATGTGTGTGTGTGTGCATGTGTGTGTATATGTGTGTGTATGTCTGTGTATGTGTGTGTGTATGTATGTATGTATGTATGTATGTATGTATGTATGTATGTATGTATGGTATGGTATGGTATGGTATGGTATGGTATGGTATGGTATGGTATGGTATGGTATGGTATGGTATGGTATGGTATGTATGGTATGTATGTATGTCTGTCTGTCTGTATGTCTGTATGTAATGTATGTAGTGTATGTAATGTACGGAATGTATGTAATGTATGTAATGTATGTAATGTATGGAATGTATGTAGTGTAATTTAATGTAATGTAATGTGATGTAATGTGATGTATGTAGTAATGTAGTAATGTAGTAATGTAGTAATGTAGTAATGTAGTAATGAAGTAATGTAGTAATGTAGCAATGTAGTAATGTAGCAATGTAGTAATGTATGTATGTATGTATGTATGTATGTTTGTTTGTTTGTTTGTTTGTTTGTTTGTTTGGTATGTATGTTTGTATGTATGTATGTATGTATGTATGCATGTATGTATGTAATGTATGCAATGTATGCAATGTATGCAATGTATGCAATGTATGCAATGTATGCAATGTATGCAATGTATGCAATGTATGCAATGTATGCAATGTATGCAATGTATGCAATGTATGTCATGTATGTCATGTATGTCATGTATGTCATGTATGTCATGTATGTCATGTATGTCTGTGTGTCATGTATGTCATGTATGTATGTATGTATGTATGTATGCATGCATGCATGCATGCATGCATGCAGGTAGGTAGGTAGGTAGGTTAGGTAGGTAGGTAGTTAGGTAGGTATGTATGTATGTAATTTAATTAATGTATGTATGCATGAATAGATGTATGTATCTATCTATCTATCTATCTATCTATCTATGTATCTATCTATCTATCTATCTATCTATCTATCTATCTATCCATGAATGTATGTATGTGTGTGTATGTGTGTGTGTATGTGTATGTATGTGTGTGTATGTGTGTGTATGTGTGTGTTTGTGGATGTGTGTGTGTATGTGTGTGTGTATGATTGTGTATGTGTGTGTATGTGTGTGTATGTGTGTTTATGTGTATATGTGTATATGTGTGAATGTATGTATGTATGAATGTATGAATGTCTGTATGATATGTATGTACGTACGTATATATGTATGTATGTGTTTGTTGAATACAATCACGGTACAATCACGGTATAGTCCCTGCCTCCAGAATGAAGTAGGCCCTTTTGCAGAAGTATGGGCTGGGTCGGCTTTTGGACCCTGCCCAAACATCGCCAGAGTGTACCACGTGATCCAGCCGTAACTTTTTGAAGAGGCCCATCCAATCGGACCAGGAATTGAAAGTGCCCAATCGATCGTGGCCTCCAAGGACAACGAAGGGATGTTGGCAGCGTTGTCGCGGGTTAGAAAAACGGTTAGTTGGATGGAAGTGTTTCCACATCGAAGAACGCGCCTTTGGTGTTTTTCCAATGGATGGCCTCTTGTGGTGTATCCTCAATGATTGCAATCCACTGCCGCGACACGCGGGCTGCCTGTCCAGCTGGAGCCCAACAGAATCATCGTTCAAAGTTTCGAAATGAAAAATGGCCTCGGCTAGTCGTAGATCAGATGAGATACCCTCCAAACATATCATGATTTTAGTGAGCAGCATTCCCATTTCTGGCAAAAGGAAAAAAACTATGAATCTACCAATCGCCAACTCACTGGGCACATGAAAAGAGCGGATTCCCTTGGGCTGTTCATCTCGGAATCCAAGGCTGTCATCCCAGCCTGCCTCCATGAGGAGCGCACGTTGCACTTCAAAGTGTCTGCAGTGGTGCAACACGAAGGAAAAGATGACGCCTCAGCGGAACCAACGGAACCAATGGACTGATTTGAGGGACACTTCATGGGAAAGCGTCGCGCTTGGGTTAAAAAAAACACCTAACATGGGAGGTTCCTGTACATTCTCTCTTCAACTGATTCGAGGAAATGCAGGAGATTCGCACTGGATTGGGAAGTCTGTTGAACAGTCTGATTTGTTTCCCCGTTTTCTACTGTGGTACTTGTGCCACTGTACTTTAGGAAACATGCCAGCCACCGCCATTGCCAAAAGTTGCTTTCTTGGCCGAATGGGCTTGGGCTGACCCATCATGAACTAGCGTCGCAACTGCAGATTGACTTTGTAAGAATAGCTGATCGAATGTGAGTTGACACATATTTAACATTATTTCACTGTTTGCAAAATCATCAGGATTCCTTGGTTCTTGCGTCAAGAAACAATCCACGCTCTTGTCTTCCAATGGCAGCGTACGCCCATCAAACTCCGTCACCTCAAACTCTGGAGTCTGTGGTTTCACGACGTCGAGCGCGATGGCCTGCAACTTGGATTTCAACTTGCATCCGTCTTGATGAGCCCCACTGATGTCTGTTTCGTCCCATTGATTTTTTGGCCTCCGGAGTATTTTTCAAGCAATTTTATAGTTACTTGTCGGCTTTGGGGCAGCAATATTCTCAGTTTCATAGACCCTGGTGCTTCAATGCAAGAACACACATCGAAGTGCAGCACACTTGAATTACAGCAGCGTCGTGTGAACGGAACTCCTCTAATTGAAAAATGCGCTTGTATATTAGCGAACCAACATGCAAGCGCCAAATAAGGAGAAAAACCTTCCAAAAAAGTGGTAGAATAGAGGCGAAATGCTTCAAGAAATGAAAGGCTTCCTTTTCAGCCAAAGAGCCGTTGAAGTCTGATTACAGTGAGGCATGAACAAGAGATCTGTTCACTTTCCACAGAAAGGCTGACCCATCGCCATGGCTCTGCCTCCAGGCCCCAGGTCGTAAGCCATGATGCCATCCGCCCCGTGCCAGCACCCACGTCGACAACACGCTTGAAGCTTTCATCGTGACGAGACCTGGCACGATCACTTGAAAGGCAAAGGATGGGAGGTTGGGGCACCAAAGGGGACCAACAAAAATTGGGAAAAGATATGGGAAAATTATGATGCGTGGCGAGAGTGTTGGGTTTTAACTGGAAAAATAAACCATGGAACCATGGAACTTGGAAGCATGGGATGGGCTTTCCGATAAGCCCAAATACCATAAGCAGGTGAGCCAGGCCTGGAATGGAGATGGAACAGCATGGGTCCAGCCATCCTGTAGTGAAACATGTGACAGATTGTTTTTCAGCACATCTGAACAATTTTATGATAGTCCGCTAAATTTTGCGTTGTATATATACAGTATATGTATATATCTAACTATAAGCGTATAACCCACCAATCATCATGAACCAACTGGAGCTTTTCAAGGTGCCCAGTTGGGGTTGCAGATTTTTGGGACGGCTGCATCCCCGGTCACATCCCTGCCACGAAGTTGCTCGAGAGTGCCGTGGGGTTTGAAGCCTTTGACCCGAGTTGGGAACACCGCATCGCGGCCTTACAAAAACTCAGGAATTGAGAGACTCCAAATCAACTGTTTGATCTGTTTGGCAAGTTCATTGCGATCAGTCAATGCCGAAGCAAGAAATCAGAAGTATGTGGAATGAGTCTTTCAAAAGTGCGAATGTTCGATATGTCCACGTGCCTTCCGGATATTGCTTGAGTATGGAACAAATGATTCCAATCAATGCCAAAGCAAATGCCCACCGCCATCTCTGACCAGAGCTGGGTACATAATGAATCATAATGGTACATTCTGTCACAAGCCCAAAGGCAGGGGAAATGATGAGTCGGACCATTCCATAGTCAAATGCCAAGGGACGATCAGGCCTTGCTCTCTTCCAGGCCCAGGCCCTTTGACCTGCACATTGATGCTTCGCCCATGGATTTCTTCGTTGGAAAATCTACAGGAAACAATGATTTATCCACCAAAGGTGAGATAAACAAGGCTTTCCTGCAAAATGTCCCATAATCCAATTCTAGGATGACAGTACATTCAAACCCAACAATATGAACGCGGACAATTCGAGAGTTACCCACCGCTCCTCAGGACCTGAAGCAACAAACTTCAACAGGGTCTGTCTGAAAATGGTGGTATCCCGAAATGGTTATCCTAATATATCCTAACATACCTTAATGAGAAAAATGTGGTGTTGCCCGATCTTCAGACAAACCTAACAGGGATCATCAAGCCAAATTGTGGGCCTACATCTACTGGGCCACGCAAATCGTCTGGTTCCCACCAGGCGACCATACGAGCCTCCTGGTGCAGGTGGCATCCCATGTCCAAAGATAGGTCATGCATCAAACTTGCAAATTTTACGGGGAAAATTATGATAATCTATGTGTTTCAGGGATACCACATTTTTAGACAAATCCATGTTGCTCTCCGTTTTGCCCTTCATGTTTCTTGGAGACTTGAAGGGGTTGGTCTTATCTATGAGTCTAGCCCTCTTTACTGCATCAACACAAATAACGGATATCATGCTGGAGAATTTAAGAATTTGGACGATGCAATAACTCTCCAAAGCCGATTCAATAATGAGCCATCATAAAGATATATATATGTATATATATATATAAACGGGTTCTATAAACAGTGGTTTATTAGTAATATATTAGATTCCAAAAGGAATTGAACTCCAAATCTCAACCATCCGGCCCGTTGCCCAAGTTGCCCCAGTCCCGTTCGAGCTGATCATGGCTGCACTGTTTGAATCGAGTGACCTTAGATGGGTGACATCTGGCACCAGTGATCCCATGTGAGCGGATCAGGACGAGAAACTCCGCGAAGGACTTCAGCATGACTAAAGAGCCTGGTGTGTAGTCCGGTGGCCTCCCACGCCTGCAGTGCAGCCAATCACAACTCTCCCACCATCCCAGTCAATCTGCCATGAAATACTGGTAGGATCTGGTAGGTATTTGAACAATCCCAGTTGAACCAGGTTGAAAAACCCACTGCAATGAACCAATGACCAACTTTTTCTATGGCACCTCACAGGACAAGTGTTTCGACATGTCAAGTCTTGTGGGTCCATGGCCGATCCTGGTTTCGATCCATGTTTTCTGAAAATGAGATACCCATCAGTTTCCCATGGCTTTCCCATGGCTTTCCCATGGGTTTCCCATGGGTTTTTCCACCATGGCCCCATGGCCTCGTACTTTTGGGCCGCCTGCTCCCATCCAGCAATGATGAACTGGTACCTCAGTAGTGCCGCCTACGGGATTCACAGCTGATGATGGCAATCCCTCAAAAACCATCAAGGGTAGCCTAGGGTAACATAGATGTGGAAAACCCCACCATTTGTAAATCATGTTCCTAGGGAAACCATGAGTTTTCTAGATCTATATTAGTTACGTGTTTTTCCCTAGATAGACTAATTATTGATTCTATTAGTTTACCTAGGGTGATTGAAAACTGATATCCAGGCCATGGTGCCAACCAGTTCGCTGCCAGGCCTTGGAAGAGGACAATGCACCGAGAAAAGGTGTTGCTTAAGAAGTAGATGTGCAGTTCATGGATAATTATGGGAGTCCCCAATATATTGGATATGCATTGGGCAATCTCAATATAACCCCCTACAATATGATATGTAATTTATATAAACCAACAGATTTCAGCAGGGGTGTCTTGCAGCCACTGCTCACATGTTTCGTTGCCTGCGCACAAGCACACGCAAAAGGATGCAAAAGGTATATAAGTATATAAGTGACACCTGTCCGCATGATCATATTGGTGCCTGTTTCCAGGGTAGGCGTATTTCCTATCAGTCTGAGACAGGTCGTGCCTCTAAACCTCCAAGCCATGGTTCTCTCACTCTTCAGAAATACATCAGAATCATAAGAACTTCGCAGCATTTCTGTCCCAGAATCCAATGGATCTTCTACATAAGCATAGAAGACTGTTCCCGGCCAAACCTCAAAGAGATGAAGGGATGACAACTGGAGAATGCTGGACACAAAAAATGCTTTCCTTGTCAGGTGCCTGGTTGGGTCTGGAAGAATTGATATGTTATATGTTGAAGGAAAATCACTCGCAGTGTCCTAGAAAAGTATGCCGAGTCACCTCTGAGTACCCATCCTCAGTTCAAATCCACACCTTCTTGGAAAAGACATTTGCTCAGGCTTACCAGGCCCACTATATCAGGCACTATGCACCCAGGATGTCTACACCTTGTCTTCACATCGTCAAACATAGATAAACCGCTTGAAGTTGTGGAATTTGAGTCTGGTTGTTTGTCAAGCTTGGCTCGTCAAGTTTGGAGGGCATCATGATGGCTTGCAACTTGCAGGTGTGGATCGTTCCAATCGGACCCGGAGTACCAGTACGCTCTGCCCATGGCAGGAATGTCACCCGAAATGCCGTCAAAGGGACTCGAGTTCAAGTCATTCAAGTGATTCAAGTGGTAGGAAAGTGACTTTCTTCCTTACATTGAAATCGCGTGCTCCATTGCCTAAGCATTGAACCACATGTGTCCTTACATCTTCTCACCCATGGTTTGCACCGAGCTATGACTCCAAAGCTGAGGCAGGCTACGGACGCAGCTGGCGTTCCAACAAGCCAACATGGGGTGGTCCAAGAATTGGGCCTATGAAATCAATGAAATCCAATGAAATCCCCATATTTTGATGATTTTGTGGCAATCTTAATGGGGACGATGATAATTTTGATGAGAATTTTGGGCATCCTCGTTGCAGACCTCGTGGGTGACATGGCTTGACAGGTCGCCTCTTCAAACCTCTCCGGCACCACACTGTGCAAGAACAGGGGGTAGCACACACGGCGCACATCCCCTGGCAACTCGTCAAAGCTGCTTCAGCAACATGGCTGTGTCCCGAAATGGTGGATGCCCCAACGCCATATCAATAGGGTTTTGGAAAAACAACATGTTCGCTTGAGTCTTGTGAGAATCGTCGAGTCATACGTTCACATGCCAATCATATTTGTCCCACCAGAACCCACGCCTGCGGGAGAAAATAGTGATGCGATCTGATGCCTACAGACCGCAGGTCTGAAATGATCTGAAGCAATACAACTATCTTATATACTATGTCATTACTATGTGCTCGGTGCGTCTGCAAGCGAGCGGATGAAAATTTGCAATTGAACACATCCAGCTGGAAACAGGTCTAAGTTGTGGCCCATGTCGTATTATCGCCCAAGTTGAAAACAGCTAGACTGGTAGGCCCAGAGTTCCAAATACAACCGACATCCAATGGCACCTTTCTTCCAGGGACAAAGCGCAAGGCAAACTGCGCAAGGCTTCCATGAAATCTCCTGGTGCCCATGAAACTGCTTCCGGCGCAAACTGCGGGCCTGATGTTCCTTGAAACCTCTTTGAACGGACATAAGTTTAGCCCCTTGTAAGGAGGGAATGTCCAAGGCTGCCCGGTATTTCAACTGTACCAGGTGATCAAAAAATATGTTGGTAAAATTGCGTCACCGTGGTAGCTAGCTTGGAAGTGTAAAGCAGAGAAGAACAAGAAGCTCTGCTTGCATCTGCATCCTGAATACTATTTTACTACAATCTACACAATTGGATAATCGGCTTTCCATGGAATGTCCGTTGGAAAATGAAATCCACCCAAGGCACAGAAGTTGGGTCTAGAACTTGGGTTCCGCCCAAAATTCAAGGGTTGAGTCGGGTTGATCATCATTTTCCCCTCTCAAAATGGCTGGCGCTGGTAAAATCATCTCTCCTCGTGGCAAGAAACCAGCAACAGCTGCTGGCTCAAGCTGCGCCAAGACAGCTGGATCCCTTTCGCAAACATCTCAGCTGGACAAGTTCTGAAGTGATGGTTTAAATTACCCACAAAATGGCAACATTTAGATATGTTAACTTAATTTAAGTTATATCTTCATAAAATATGTGATGACTACCCTCTGGTAATTTAACGCAGCTATGGAAAATTACAATGTGTAGATAAATGTAGATAATTTACCTATTAAACATGACCGTTTTATATGGTTTTGTTAGATTACCAGAGGGTACTAAAAATCATCAAAATCTGCAGTCCCTGGGCCAAAGTCCGGGTTTTTGAAGGCTAGATGCATCCAACTCAAACAATGTATCAGCATGATGAGCAACAGCATGTGCAAATGGCATGCGCGACAACCCTGCCTGGAAACGGCCAAACGAATTCGCGCCAACGCCTGCCAAGCTATGCTCTGTGATCCAAACGATCTTTGGAAAAATCGAAAGCGCGGTCAAGACTTCAAGATGCAAGCAGTTGATACTGACAATACTGACAGTCTGACTCAATGGCAAAAAAATGAGTACGCCCCCAAATCTCAAGACGAAACTCCCAAGATTGGTTTTTGAAAATGGATCTTCCCCTTGGATGTGGCTATTTTGAGGTTTGCCTTAAATCCCCAGCCCTGCGACAGATGAACCCAGCGCTAAAAAATCATGGCTCTCAAGGCCTTGAAGAGCCCAGCCTTGGCGGAATATAACCGATACAATGAGTTTATATAAGTGTGTGTTTAATGTGTTAATGATGATGGTGAAATTATCATAATCATAATAATATTAGTAGTAATAAAATCATCATCATCATCATCATCATCATCAGCAGCAGCAGCAGCAGATCCACGTCCAACCTTAAACCAAACACCTCTGCTTCAGAAAAGGCTATGTCACGCACGTAGGCTTGGCCCGTTTGAGCGTCTTCACCTGGCATGCCAAGACCTGGCGACCTGGCCTCTTTCATATAGGGTGCTTCTTCAAACAGGGAAATCATCACATTTGGAATGATCCAATGACCCCAATGACCCAGGTCATCCATGGATTTTCCTGGATTTTCCTGGATTTTCCAGTAATCATCCGATTTTCCAGTAATGAAATGCCATGAAATGCCAGTCACCCAGACACCTCTCCACAAGCACCGCAGCTCTGTCAGGGACACGCTAAAGTCTGGCCGCGCTGCCAATCGGCACCTAAAAGAGACCGTGATGACCAGCAGACCATCGTAATTTTGATGGACATTTACTGGGATTTAAAAAGACTTAAACGTGTAAAGCAGCTAATAATGAATATACAACAATGCTATATACCATGGGATTTAAAACATCTAAAATTACTATCAAAATTACCGTCAAACACACCTGTTGTCTCTTGGATGATAGAGAAAAAAAAACACAAGACATGTAGACTTCACCTGGCTTGTGTCAGTTGTGTCCTTTCTCAGCAGCCACTCCTTGTTGAACCACACCGCAGACTCCGCAGGTCGTGAGACGATGCCAGCTGGTTGCTGGTCACGATGACTGCGGACCGGTGGAATTCGTTAAACCACAGGAACCAGCCTCCATATCCACTTGACCTTGGCTCCCACTTCCACTGGGGAAACCCTGGAAAGACTTGGGGGATATGGGGGATTGAGATAGGTTGACGATGAAACATGGCGAAACATCGTGCTTTGACCATGCAAAATATGGATTTGACCTGCTGAAATGGGGCAGACCGCGGGAAAGGGGATAGGATACGGGGAAAATGATGATAATCCATTGGAATTGAGGGTACAGTACCATATTTTCAGACACACCCATATTAGGAATCTATAGGAATCTATAGGAATCTATAGGAATCTATAGGAATCTCATGAAATATCATGAAATATGAAATGATGTCAAAGTCTTTCAAATCTAAAGTGGGTGCCACATCATGGCCGCTGCATGAAGGGATCCATATCTGATCCAGGGCACATTCTGCAGGCACTGCTGGATTGTCTCCTGCAGGAACTGATGCCTTCCAGCTGCATCGGAAAGCTTGGATGCCTGGCAGGGCCCGTCGGCTCCAAGAATGGTTTGAATCATATGAAATCCAACATTTTATAACACCATTAACACCATTTGACTGATGAGAATCGCCACATTTAGACAGCCCCAAGTGGTCTGTGAGCCTTCGAAACCACAACTGGGGGCTGAAATGAGCTGTTTCCATGATACCTTTGATCTCTGCTTGAGAGTTCAGGGGCTTTGGTTAGAAGAATATTGTATGTCATTCAAGGGACAGCACTCAACTGGATGTTCGCAAAGATTTACAGCAGTGGAATTTTAGCAGCCAGGCAATCAAGTTTCAACATGTTTCAACCATAGATGTTCCCCGAAATCAACCCATCCTGGATGTTCCTGGATGTTCCTGGCAAAAAAACGCATCAGAAGCATCAGAAGCCTACGTCCACTTTGTGGCTTTCGCAAATGCCAGCAGTGAGGTGCTCAGTGCATGTGCTGGTCCTCTTGAGTCCTGGAAAGCGGAAACTCACAGCGTAGGAACTTGAGAGGGGGGGGACTAAAGGTAGGGGGGGAAAGACAGGAGGGAGAGGCAAGAGAAGGTGCGACTGTTTGTAACGCAAGCACGCCGACGACGACGACGACTACTACTACTACTACTACGACTACTACTACTATGACGACGACTACTACTACTACTACTATTACTACTCCTCCTCCTACTACTACTACTACGACGGCTACTACTACGACGACGGCTACTACTACTGCTACTGCTACTGCTACTACTACTAC